TCCCAGCACAGCTTGATGAATTCTCACCACCGAACCCACCTGTGGAACTAGCACCCACGTCAAAAAAGGGAGTTTTACCCTACCCCATTTACCCTACCCCTACATACTCTCTTCCTCATTACAACCCCAAAGATAACCATTATGCCACTTTCTACCACCACAGATTAGTTCTGCTGTGTTCGAACTTCAGGTAATACATCCATCCAACGTGCATGTATTCTTCTCTGGCCCTTCTGCTTAGCGTTCTGTTGGGGAGAGTCACCAACATCGCTGCCTGTGGCCACAGCCTGTTCATTCTCATGCCCCTCTGGGCCTCCACTGTGACAACTGCCATGATTTATCTTTTCTCCCATTGACAGCTTGGGGGCAATTGTGAATGATTCTGCAATGAACACTCCATGGTTTTTGTTTGGTTCTTCAGTGAACCTATGGACACATTTCTGTTGGGCAGAGAACTGCCGGGTCATAGGGTATGCCTGTGTCCAGCTTTAACAGACAATGGCTAACAGTTTTCTAAGGTGGCTTCACCAATTTACCCCCTGCCAGCAGTGTGTGAGGGCTCAGGTTAACCATGGCCTTGCTAGCACCTGGTGGTGTCCATCGCTCCCATGTTAACCATTCTACTAAGTATGTGGTGTCACCTTATGGTTGTGACTGCATTTCCTTGACATGTGTGAGGCTGGGCCCTCTCCACGTGTTCCCTACCAGTGGGCCACCTTCTCTTGTAAAGCAGAATCCTCTGTATTTAACTCCTCTTCCTCTGCATCCTAGAGCAGCTCCTGTTTTCCTGAACAGACTCCGACTGGCACCCCCAGGGACACCAGGCAGGGGGCTGTTTAGTGCTGTCACTGAGAAAGCTGCAGGCTTGGCAGGATCACATGACAGTTGTTCCTTAAAAAAAGAAAGCTGGAGTAGAAGCAAAGAGAAGAAATGGGAAAAGGGCTGACTGTTCACATATCAATGTTGGGATGGCATGTGCACCCAACGGGGGCAGGAACAGAGATTTACATTCTGGGGGAAAGAGCCCGAGATCCAGGAAGAACCCACATATTTCTGCCTCCAGTCTGTGAAGCTAGACCCCCAAAATGCACTCCCCACTTTGCAGTTGCTGAGTTTGGAAAAAAGTGAGACCATTTTTCCCAGGCTGCCAGGCCTGGTCACGGGGAGCGGGCAGTCAGGCATCCTCCCACCTGGGGTCCTATTCCTCACATCTCCCTCCCCTCCCAAACTGAGCTTGGAATTCCCTGAGGAAGGAACCACAACTGCCGGAGCCATCTCTGGGCACTGAGCAGAATTAAATGAATATGGAATTAGTGAATGGCTATGCATTTATTAAAGAAGGGGGAAAAGGATGGAAATGACATGAAAGAGAACCGAATAGTTCTGCATCAGATACTCGTACACAAATGAGCGCTCATCCTCCAAACAACTGGCAGGTCAGTCTTCAAATTCCCGTTTCAAAGATAAGAAAGCTGAGGCTTTGGAACTTCAACAACTTGCTCAGAGTCAGAAGGCTGGTAAATTATTGAGGGTGAACTAGGGCTCGTTCCCCACCACCTCCCCGACTTGGCCCTGTGGCTGAGGGCAGAAGACACACTCTTGGCCAGTCAGGGTGGTCAGCTCAATGGCTGTCGGGTTCACAGCCACCCGGCACCCAGGCTTCCACCAGAAGACGGTAGACGTTGCTGGTTCTGATGGGGCACAAGTCACCATTAGCCCTGAGATAGCTGAATCGAGGGGGAGTGCGGGTGAAGTCTACTCCCAGTTCTTCAGTTTACTATAGGAAACCACAGAGGGCAGCTGAGCAAAGGCTCTGGGAGGACACTTAGGCTGGCAAGAGGTTCAGCAGCCACACCTTTGACAGTCAAGGCGGTACACAGCTTCACCTTCCTGGACCCTACGCCCAACATACAGAAATGGAAAATGGTCCTGTTCTCTAACACTGTCAGGCACATAAGAAACACCCAGTTGTGCGCAGCACATGGTCTCTATACTGGTTTGCACAGAGCCGTCTTCTACTCCTCTGCATCCTGAATGACAGACGGATACCATGGCAGGCATTCAAGAAAAGCCCAGTGAAGCCCAGAGAGGAGGCTTCTGCATCCCAGAGAGCAGCCGCCCACTGATGATAAAATCCATCTCAGCATGCGTACGTCTATGCACATGTACACACATTCACCTATTAAGCCAAACCTGAAGCATTAGGACTTGAAAGAGAATTGCCAATAACCACTGCACACTAAAGAAAGGAGCCAGCTTTTGCTAGGCACTGGAACATGCCAACACCTTTCAGACATTATTACCTCCTCTAATGTCCCCATCGACACCCCAAGGAAGGCACCCGCACCTCCATTTTATAAACAAAGAAACTGAGACATGAGGACGCACAGTGTGGCCACAAAGGGCAGTGGTGCAGGGCCGCATGTGGGCCCAGGTCCACCATGAGCACATGCTGCCACTGCTTCACAGCTTGCATGTGAACACCATGTCTGGGGTTTGCTCCCAGGTGCCATAAGACCCTCACCAGGCCCCGGCATCCCCAGCAGCTCACTGCTCTCTGTGATGAAAGGAAAAACACTCCTCACTTAGATCTTGCAGTGTGGGCGTGAGGAACAATTACTCAGAAAGATTATAAAGCATAGGAGCCCTACAAAATATGATTTCCACACTCAAGAATAATCATCTAGGGAATAAATACTGCAGTATAAAGGGGTCAAGACATCTCCTCCCCCTTGAAAATGAGTCTAGATTCTGCACAGGATTTCCCTACTTGCCAATCACAATGGGCCAGCCCTCGAAAACAGTGTCCTCCAGGCGGAAGGGCAGCAGGGTTCCAGCTGAGAGGCCAGTGGACACAGCATGGCACCCCCATAAGCCCAGGCCTCTGTGCCCCCTTCCCAACCTTTCCTGGCCCCTGACCATGCTCCCAACTATTTTGTGTGGTCGAGGATGATTCAGCAGCTATTCCAAGTTTCCCCCTGAACAGGTTTCCACCATCAGTTTCTAAACTTAAGAGGAAACGGGAAAAAAAAAGAAAAGAAAGGAGCCTGCTGATTGGAAGGCCCTTAAGCTGTGTGTACAGAAGCTGAAAATGTCAAGGTCTGAGAGTATTCAACAAATGAAAGCAGAATTATATAAAAGCAACAGCTAATAAAAAAGATTGTCGGATGCCGTGTTCTTCATCTTCCCAGCCATTACGGGAATAAAATTATCCACGGAGAAGATGGAAAACCTTTCTCAAGACTGGTACAATTAAGCTTTAGGACCGTGCCTCTTTGCTCCCCCTTCTCCAGTGCTCCTTCTACCCCACACCCCCCCACCCCATTTCCCTTACCGATCTCTAGTTTCCAGGATGTTGGAGGTGCTTTCCGTTTGTATATTATCACCAGCAAAATGCTAGTATTTAAGAGTCAGGCAGGTGATCATGTTTTTGCACCTCCTTCTGGAAGCACTCAATAACTTCACAATCATGTAGGAAAACCTCATTTTAGAAAAAGCCCACATCTGCATATGTAAGGAGTCTGGGCTTCCCTGTAGGATGAGGGGAAGAACAGATGAAAAGGAAGGGCTCATCCAGGAGAATCTCCTTTCCTTCAGCAAAGCAGAGAACTGGGCTGAAGGAGAACTACGGTGGGGATGAGAAAGGAGAGTGACAAGGGGAAAACAGATTTGAGACACAAAAATGCTGTAAGGCTACTGCCCTTCACCCCAAGCAGACACACGCAAACATGCTTCTAGGAGCAAAACCCAGAGAGGGAAATGCAAGAGGAGCGCAGCAGGAGACCGCAGAATTGCACACATAACAACACAAAAAAATCTGCGCTCATGAACATATGGGCAACTGTGCTAATTAGAGCTATGGCTGGTGGAATGTTTTTACCCTTTTCCAGGATCTCAAATAACAATCCTTGCCATTACAGCTACAGTCAAACCTGGGCAGGAGGTCGTTCCAGGAAACCTCTCCTTGTTAAGGACCACCTCTGTAAGCCGCTCGAGGTGCCCTGCTGGCCTTCAGGATGACGCCGACGCTACCCCCAGCGGGCGGTGCTGTGTGTTCACATGACAATTCTGCCCGTCCCCTAAAACACCCTGCAGAAGGTGGACAGGAGTGTCCCCGGAGCAAGAAGGAGTGTCCCTCCTGTCCCATGGCCTGGAAATCCAGAAATCCACGTTTCCGCCAGCCTCCAGTGTGCCATGCCACAGGAGAAAACCCCTATGGAAATCAAGCCCCTCAGGCAAACTGTCAATTTCAAAGCTCCAAAGCGTGACAAACGATTCGCAAAGATTTGCCTGCAATAAGCTGATGGCTCAGGTTGCCTGGCATGCCATCTCAGACAGAAGGAAGAACAATTTTTTTAAACCTCCCAACCATCTCCTTCCATGTTTTAAGCTGTTTCTTTGAAAAACCTGTCATGATCAACAAATTAAGCCCCCCCAAAAGTAAGCAAGTTACCAAATGAATTTTCAAGAGTCGTTGTAGGCATTAACAAAAAAAAAAGGAATGATGATATGTCTTTGAATCTCATTCATTTCAAAGGCTTATCCCTAGAAAAGTAGGGAGTGTGTAGCCATGGTGCACTTTGATCTCCCCGACTCCCAGGAGAAAATCAATAACACAACTTTAATATATTTGTACAGCAAGACTTCACGTTATTATTATTTTTATCCAATGCAGCTTAACTAAAGCCAGAAAGGTAGGCTAGGTCTCAGCACCGCCCTGTGGTGAAAGTGAATTTTTTCTAAAACTGAACTACAGCACAGCCAGCCGCAGTCACAAAAAGTGGGCCAATTAAAAACCAATTATGTCTGTGAATACAACTTGTGGAAAGGGTGGGGATATGGTGCTTGCCAGGCACAGGAGGGCAGGTCCGCAGGGGGACCGGCTGCTGGGGCGAGTGGGGAATCGGGAGTGCAGGCTCCTCTCTGCCCCACAGTGGCAGTGGACCCTGGGTGGGGGCTTTCAGGACCTGGCCCCCCAAGGCAGCCGACAGGAGCCTTACCTTCCTCCCAAGGCGCCCCAGCTGCTCCTTACAGAAGGTGTCACGGCGGCTCAGCTCTGCCTCCCGGCTCTCCAGCTCCCTGGCCTAGTGGGAAGAGAACAAAGCCCACATTAGCCGGCAGCAGCTGGGCTGAGCTGTGGGGAAAAACCAAGGAGGTTCTGTTCCCAGAGACACTGACCATGCAAAGAGCAGCCATCATGAGTTGAAAACCTACGCTATGCTACATCACTTACGTACCCTACAGAGGACTTCAAGATGCGTAGCTGCTAGAGTCATTTCACAGAAGACCAGCACTCACGTTTACTGAGTGTTTACTATGTGCCAAGTACTGGTCCAAGTGCTTCCCATAGACTTTCTCATTTGACCCTCACAACACCCCTAAAAGGTAGGCAGGAATATTATGATGCCCCGGTAGGTGAAGAAATGGAGGGGCTAAGCGACTGTCCCAGCTCACAGCTACGAGGGAAGAACTGGGGTTTGAGCCCCAGCAGATGCAGGGCCTGACCACAGAGCTGCACTGCCTCAAGACCACACAGCCTGGAAGGGCCAGAGCTGTTCCCTGGCCAGAGTTCTCACTCCTGGCCCAGACCATGCCACCGACTCACACATGAGCTCCCAGAGGCAGGGATGCCAGAATGCCCTTCTTCTGGAGAGGTAAAAATCCCTGCTTCAGAGGTCAAGGTGAGCAGTATTAGAACCCCAGAACCCTGGAGCTGGAGAGACAGTTGCTCCCTCACCCACCTGGCAGAGAACAAACAGAACGGCTGGAGCACATGGCTGAGGACCTTCCCTTGAGGTTACAGTTCGGCTGAGGGGCTTGCCTAATCAGGGCAAGCAACCTGGAGCTAGCACACCTATGGTGGGACCTGCCCCACCCTTAACTAGTTGGGTGACCTAGTTCCAGCTTACTCAGGTACAATATACGAGGCTAAAGCAGAAGTATCTGCCCCACAGGACTGTGTGGAAGGTTAAGGAAACCCCTGCAGAAACAGGTGGGGTCACAGCAGACCTCCACCAAGGGAGTGTCACGGCAGTGTCCTCCTGCCTGGGACACCCATGGCCCTGGAGCCTCTCAGGACCTCTGTGGGACAAGGCCCCAAGGCCTGTCCCCTGCCCAGGATCTGAGAGCCCAGAGGGCTGGCTCAGTGCTCGTGCAGACAAGTAATGCCATCTGATCACTGTCTGCCCCGTGGAAGGGCCCAGTGAGCTCCAGCCCCGTTTCAGGCTCCTGTGTCATTTAATTATCATGACCCCAAGAGCACAGAGCTAGTCAATGATGGAGGCCCACCATGAAGGTAATTCACCGTGACTCCAAGTCCTGAGCTGCTTCCTTCAAACCACACTATGGTGTCAGCGCATGGGTTTGAACTGTTCAAAAAGACCGAGTAGGACAAGAACTGATGTTTTTGAAAGCCCATTTCCTCAACAATGCTACTCCCCTGTAATGAAAAGTTGCTAAAGCCCAGCAGGGGGCCAGTAATGAGGAGCCAAGCACAGGACAGCAGCGACAGCACCTGAGGAAAGACTTGGGTTTAGAGGACTCGGCAGTGTCTCAGGGAGACCTGGCCGGCAGGGCTTGGCCGTGGGCTGACAACCTGAGAGCTGACAGTCGTGCTCTAATACAGGCTCCACCACTGACCGGCCCGTAAGCTTGAGCAATTTGCTATCCTTTTCTTGGGTATGTCCCCCTTACCTGCAGAATGGAAAACAGAGCAGAAGCTTGGCTCCTGAGGCTGCTGTAGAATATCTAAAAATGCCAAGAAGGCTTCTGGAATGCCTGTGGAATGCCAACACTTCAGAAAAGCTAAATACAAACAGTGAGACTGAATGCTGGGGATTTCTCGCAGGATTTTTCAAAGCATGATACCGAGGCAGTGTCCCAGGAATGGGAGCATGGCTAATCTCTGCTGGACCCTGCACAGCCATCTGGGGCCCTAACCATCAGCTGTCCCTGGTACAATCAGAGGAGAAGCTGGTCTGACACAATGAAGCAGCCAGGACAGGACTATCTCCCAGGGCTCCAGACTTGCCATTTTCTGGCCACTAGTCCCAGCCAACCAGGAAGACGACATCTGAAAGCCAAACTGCCACGAGGCTCTTGTGCTGCCGTTCACTTGAGGTTGGTGGGGCAGTAGATGAGGAGGCCACCCTCCCTCCCGCCGACACATCAGGATGCTTCCTCAGCTCATGGTTCCTGGGCCTGTGCCAGCATGGGCCTCTATGTCAGAAACGGAACGCAGAGCTGAGGCTTCCTCAGGTCACAGAGAGACTGTTCACACACAAGAAGAAACATTAGGATATGGAGGTGTCCTTTTATAGCCATGTCAATCTGTAACACCACGACGCTGACACCAAGTAAGTAAGTGATTAACTTTAGAGAGCTATGAGTCTGTAGCACCCACTGCAAAGGAAGCTCTGTGAGAAGGGCCTGGCCTGCCTCAGCATATCCCCAAAGCCTTCGCCTCCATCATGGTGAGCCAGCAAGGTGGCAGGCTCACTGCCTCCGCCCCATCTGCTAACAGGCACCACCTACCCACCCTGTTCATCCCTGAGATCTATAATGAAATCCAGTGAGTGACAGTGGACAGGAGGTGACACACGAAAAGGGGCTGTGGCAAATGAATGCAATACAAACACCTGGCTGTCAGTGCCTGGCCAGCACTGACGCTGGGGGGCATCCACGATGCTCTTGTAATGAATGAAGGTGGGCATCAGACACACTGGCCACTCTGCATAGCTGCCACAGTCTGATACGTGCCTCCCGGCACTCCCAGCACTCCCAAGAGGCCATGCAGCAGGTACTTCGCAGCATGACCATGGAATTAAGGAGGCACAGGCAGGTTTCAGTGACTGGATCAGTAATTTATCAGAACGTTATTGAGTGCCTACCACGTGACAGACACTATCGCAAAGGGGTTGCGGATACAAAAAGGAAATGAGAAAGAGTTTCTGTTCTCGTGGAGCTTAGATCCCAGTGGGAGAGACAAATGTGTGTGCAGAAAAATAAGATAATTTTAGAGAGGGATATGTGCTGGGGAGGCCACAGGCAGAATAACTTGTGGAGTAGCGGGTTGTTATTTTCTCTAAGGAGATTTCCAAGCCAGTCTTCTGGGAAAAAAATACTGAGTAAAGTGTGCTGTCTCCGATACAAAGGCAAAATATCACCATTATGAAGATCTACTTGCTGGATTATAGTCTTTGAATGGGGAATTGAAAGGAATCTTCAGTGATTTAGTCAAGGACTTCCTCCAGTCAAGAGAGCACAGTGAGTTCACACTTTGATGCATCTTCCCTGCTCTAAACACATAGCAAGAACAGATAAAATAGAAGAACAGGAGACCAAAAAGACATGGCCAGGTTCAAAAACAAGATTAAAACATCCAACAGAACAGGAATGCAAAACAGTAGGTGAGGCTTGGAGGCCCAGGCCTGCTGGGCTCTGGGTCTGGAGTCAGCAGAGGCAGCCAGAACAAAACCTGTTCCATAGAGCAGGGGGACTGGAGCCAGGCTGGCCACCTGGAACCTAGGGCTCCCTAGGAATAAGAAGCTGATGAAAAAAATTCCGGAAGACTCCCATGTAGGGCTGAGGTTCAGCCCATAGGCTGCAGCTCCAGTCCACTCAGCCCCAGGCCACATATGAATCAACTCCCCTGCTCACATCCCAGTTCTGCAGCACCACTAGTACCAGCAAGGAGAGGGGCCTCAGAAGGCCACAATTACACCTGCCCCTGAATGTGGGTGGCAGGTGTAGACCACCAGAAAAATACTAGGCAGGGAGAAACAAAAATGACAGAGAAAGCAAAGCAAAGCAAAACAAGACAAAAATCAAACTTCCTACTCAAAATGAGCCTGCAAACCAAATCCCAAATATGTGAAGAAATGTGATGCTTAGAAAGGCTACCAATAAAATCAGCAACTGGAATATGAATTCACTCCAGATGAAATTAATTTTATGGGACATCATGACAAAGGATTTTTAAAAACTTTTTATTATGCAAAAATAAGACACGAGACAGAATAATAAAACTCCAGATAGCCATCACTAAGCTTCAAAATTTATAAACTAAAGGAAATTTTGTTTCACCTATATTCCCCACCCTCTCCCTATGCCCAAATTTCTTACAGCAGATCATTTCACCAATACATACTTCAATATATTTCTCTGAAAGATAAGGACTTGTATTTTCCTAAACCAAACCATAGTACCATTGCATACCCCACCAAATTAATTCCTTAACATATCAAATATTCAGCCAGTGTTCAAATTTCCAATTGATAAAGGATTTTTTTCAATTTTTTTCAGATTTTATTTATTTGAGAGAGAGAGAGCATGAGGGGGGCAGAGCAAGAGGAAGAGGGAGAAGCCAACTCCCCACTGAGCAGGGAGCCAGATGCAAGACTCGATCCCATGACTCCAAGATCATGACCTGAGCTGAAGACAGATGCTTAACTGAGTGAGCCACCCAGGCACCGTGATAAAGGATTTTAATAGTGCATGTTTAAGGTACTCAAAAGATAAATGAATTTCTGATTTAAAGAGAAGAAATTATGAACCTGGAACAGGAAAACCCCCAACCCCCATACTATGAATTTAAATTTCTTCAAAATAAAAAATAAAATGGATAAGACAAACCCTAAACTGAGGGCAGTAAGGCAGAAATTAGCAAATTAAAAAGTAGCACAGAAATGTGATCCAGAATGTTGCAACAGAAGATAAAGATAAAACGTATGAAAGAGAAGCTGTAAAACTTGGAAGACAGACTGACAGACTCCAACCAGTGTCTAAGAACTCTTTCAGAAGAAGAGCCGAAAGGGATGGCAGAGGAAGAGGAGGTGGAGGAGGAAGACAAGGGAGGAAAAAGAGAGGAAGGAGGACGACAGACGTTAGAGCGGAAGGCAAGGGAGAGTTGGGGAGGGTAAGGTAAAATGAGGTGGGGAAGGGAGGAAGATGTAGCAATGAGAAAGTTGGGGTGGGGGCTGAAGGAAAATGAGGGGAGGAGGAGAAGAGGCTATAAATAGAAAATCCCAAATAAAATTATAGGAAAAATAAGTCAGTTATCACAATAAATATGTGGTAGACAGCT